CCGCCGCCGCCGCCGCCGAGTGCGTGCGGGGGAGGGGGACGGGGGGAGGTCTATCTCCCCGGCCCGGTCAGGGTCAAGCCACGGACCGGCAATGGACCGCGGACCGGGGGTTGACGACCTCTGCGCTATAGGATTCTTTACCATATATATGATTTTGGTTGATATGTTTATTTATTATTATTTGTTTATTATTATAACCTATGTGATTTTCTTATTTTTACTAGGTTGCATATAACAAAAAACTGCTTCAGTATTATTGTTGGCTATTACTAGTCATTAATCTTAATGCCATGTGACTTCATAACAACTAAAATGTACTAAGGCAGCGGTCTCCAACCTTTTTTGGTCCGCGGACCAGCTGGGGATGACAGGGCAGCCCCCATGCTTGTGCGCATATGCAAACAAGCACTCTCTTGCACGAGTGTGCGTGCACCCAGACAAGCACTGCCGCTTGCACATGCATGTCAGCGTGCATGCACGTGCATGTGAATGCGCAAACGGCAGTGCAGCGTTTGTCTGGGCACCTGTGTGCTCGTGCACATGTGCAAACAGCAGTGCGGTGCTCGCACAGGCATGCTGGAGAGTGTGCACAGGCGCAAATGGGTTGTGAGTCCGTGCGGGGGTTGGGGTGGGAGGACTGTCTCGGTGGCTTGGTCCGAAACAGGCCGCGGACCGGCATGGGCTGCGGACTGGGGGTTGGGGACCACCTGTACTAAGGCATCAGCTTTTTGGACTATAATCCACTTCATCTGATGTATTTATTAGTACAGTGCTTTATGGTTTTAAAATATATTACTGCACCCCTGGAAGTGTCTTACCCACTAAATGATAGTCTATGAATATTTTAAAATCAGTGAGGAGGTGCTGATCTTCTAACAAGCATAAAATTTAAAAAACTCAATAAATCAGCCTTTTTACTAGAGAACTAATGAACACAGTTTTTTATATAAAGACTCTGGTGGGAGTTTGAGCATTACAGACCAGTTAGATTAAAATCTGACCAGCATAAACCAGCAGAGAATGTAATTAAAGCCAAAATTATTAAGAACAAGGTCCCCAAATGTTACTGATGACAGATCAGCAGGATTTCCATAAAGGGAACTTGGTCCTCAACAAGCCTTTGCAGATGCTAGACAGCATCAATAAATGTCAAGACGGGTAATTTGGTTAAATGCAGTACAATCGAACTTCTCAGATATTTTTAACTAGATTCATGGTAGAAAAATCTACATTTTCTATACATTTCAGTCCTTATTTTGGAATAATTTATACAGACTATTTCAAAAAAGGCAAAACTAAAAACCCCAATTCTTTTTATGTCTTGAACATAAGCAAACACTTTCAAACAGCAATTGAAGTCCACAAAAAATATCCCAGAGTTTACCTTTTTCTGCATGTTCTATAATCTGACGAATGGCTTTTTTCAGACTGTTGGCTCTCAACATTAACTGTTCCCGCGGTCTAAATATCTGAGGACGGGCAGTGCATGAAGATCCTATCGAGTGCTCACTAGCAGAATCACATGCACTGCCAGAACCTTCACCATCTTCTGCTTCTTCTGCAATAGTAGGGGGTGGGTTTGGCAAAGATGACAAAGCCTGAGATTCTTCGTTCAGTGTCTTCAAAAGAGAATCCAACTTCTCTTTCAAAACAGAGCACTACAAGAAACAAAACACAAAATTTAATAGTATCTCTGTAAGCGTGCATGTGTAATTGGAAAGGAGAGGACACAGATTCATTTGAATTTTCTTTTTTCCAAATACCTTTCTGGCCATGACTTCTGACTCCTCAGAACTTTCTGGCGCTCTTTCATATGCTTTGCCAACTCGAGCTACAAAATCCTTCACAGTCTCACAGAGCACCCTAAATAAAGCAGATCTCATCAACAATTATTGTCTTACATTGCAACTGGTTTCTGCATGTGACCTCCCTTCTCACATACTTACTTGGCTGAAGAGATGACCACTGAGTGTTGGTCAGATGTCAAGATTTTGGATAAATGAGCAGCCACAGAGTCTTCATAGAAGAGTATCTGCTGCACCTTGTGATATTTGGATATAGATAAAATTTAAAAAAACCCACTTCTGGTCTGTTTCATAGATCAGGGTCAATACCAATTAGTACATGCTATGTTTTGTCTACCTACAAAGATGCAGTCATGATTTCACTGTATTTTGACATAAAGCATACAAGTTTCCCCATGGTAAAGCAACTTGGTACTCATTTCATAATGACACTGAATAATGGAAGTGACTGCTCTAAAATAAGGGCAAGGAACCCTGTTGAACTACAACCAGCAATCATTGGTCATGCTAGCTGCAGCTGGCAGGATTTGGGGCTGAACAAATCTGAAGGGTCACCTACACCTACTGTAAAAACCCAAGGTCAGTTGTGCAATTTTTTAAAAGGGATGTTGTGGGTTTTTCGGGCTCTTTGGCCGTGTTCTGAAGGTTCAGAACATGGCCAAAGAGCCCGAAAAACCTACAACAACCATTAGATTCCGGCCATGATATCCTTCGCGAATACATTTAAAAAGGGACTTTGGACCTATGCAGTTTTTGTTTTTCTCTGCTATCATCTAACTTTTCTAGAGCAGAACTCACTGTTTCCACAGTGCTACCCTTTTTAAAAATCCTTGTAAAACTATTTACCTCAGAATCTTCACTAAAATCTTCAGTGCCTGTAGAAGCAGACGCTTGACGAGGGAGTTTTGTTTCATACACCATAATGCTCCACCTATCCATCAAGAAGCATCACACAATTTAATACAAACTAGGAAATATTATAAGGATACTGGTTTATGAAGAGACATGAAATGGTTGCTGAAGATTCTAGTGATGGGATATATTTTCTCCCCTTTCAATGATTTTCAGGCCACAGCCCTACCAAAACCAAAATGACCAGAAATGTACTTTCAGAAAGAACACAATTTTTGCACCTCTGTGTCTATATATTATTAAAAATGAATATGGTACAGTATGTGATTCCAACTGTCTGTTTGGTCCATGTATAAACTATGCAACTGATCTTAGTATAATCAAGCGTTGCTAGTACACTTTTAAAACAGAAGCCATCCTTATCTGTATGGAAGATGGGGTCCATCTTTATAATTCACAGCCTTACAAGTCTGTCTACAGAGATGAGTACTTTCTTAAATCAACAGGAATTACAACTTTGAAAAAAAAGAATAACATAAATCTTACATAGAGGCTACTCTTTCTGAAGAAATCAGCACATGTTCAGAGGAGGGGGAGAAGACTCCAGAACTGGTTAACACAGAATCACACTTACCTGTCAAGCATTTTGGTACTGGCCCTTTCTAGCTTTTCCAATATCTGTGGGAGTTGGGTGTCATCATCACAAGCAGATCCCCAGCCTAGCACACGAGCAAGGTCATTGCCTGTCCCTAGAGGCAACACCCCCAACTGGCACTACACAAAGGAAGGGTACAAGAAAAAACAAACAAACAAGGATAACAAGGGAAGAAAAGATGCACTGTTTTCATCCACCCAGATATAATTTAGACAATGCATGTTTGATTAAGGTTTGCATACGTAAGTAGCCACGATTAACTGATGAAGCACTGGGGTGCATCTCAGTTGCATAGGGATGTTACTGAGACACACCATGGCACATTGTCAATTAAGTGAAGCAAGTTGTACAAATTTTATATAGAACCAATGAGATTCTGACCAACATAAGAAAGCCACAGGAATTGAAATGTGAAAAAAGTATATGATGAAGAGTATAGTTAAAAGAAAGAAATACCATTTATGTTCCACCCATATGCTTTCAGCTTTTTAAAAACAGCTACTCCCTTTTTTTGTCAATGGGAGCTGTCTAGGGCAATGCCTAACCTGTGCCTGCCCTCTCACCCTTATTTAAGAACTTGTCCTTATTTATTAAAAGTATTTTCAGTACCACTGCATTAAGAACTAAAAGCAGCTTATGCAATGTCCCTCCTCCAAGATTTAGCCTCATATTTTCTTCATATCCATCCCTTACTATATTAGACACACACACAAACAGTATGTATACTACATCCTTAATTTCTTATTTCTTTTTTCCTTTAAGCAGCCTTGATTCTTTCTACTTCAAATTTTTCAGCTCTTTGTTTGATAGCCTTTTGCCAGACACTTCAATCTTGAGTGAGAGCTGCCCAACTGACATAGTCAATATTAAAATCTTCCTATGTTGTCATCATTGTTTCTTGGATGATTGCTTCTGTCCATCATGCAATCAAAAACACCTGTAGCAAGCTTTCCATAGAAGATACACCTTGGGAGACAGTCATCTGACACCCTGACAACATGGCTAGTCCACTGAAATTGTTAATAGTTTCAAAATTGAAAAATGATCGTCATCTGTGTTTGTTCCAGGGCCTCAGTGTCAGATGCTTTATGCTGCCATCTGATGTTGATAATTCTCCAGAAACAGGTAAGTGACCAATCTTTCTTGTATGATACTGGTAGACAGTCAAAATCTCCACTCTACAAGGAAAAAAACAATAGCTTTGTACATCTTCAGCTTAATAGAATGATTCCACATTGATTCCACACTGAGGATCAAAGTCTTCTGAAGGCAGCGCTGGCTTTAGACATTCATGATGTCACTTCATGGTCAATAAGCACACAGCAGAAGACACCACTTCTGAGATATATGAACTTATATACGGAAAAAATGGCATGTTCTCAAGGTATCTAAGGCTTCTTCAAAAGGTACACATGGAGGAGATCAGTACATCACCACCATTCTTACTATTGATCTTCACACCAGAATTGTTGCAGGCAGAGGAAAATAGAGACTTCTTTGCATATCCGGAACTGTGGCCGCATTAAGAGCACAATCATCAGCAAACAAGAGCTCACACACTGTGCAAAATGAATTTAGTTATGACCTGAACACACCACAGATTAAACAATTTCTCGTCAATGCGGTACTAAAGTTCGACACCTGGGTTTTCTTCCCTGTAAATGTCCCAAAGCATTTCAGAAAACATAAGACTGAAAAGAGTTGGAGCAAGAACATAACCTTGTTTTGTAACAGGAAAGGAATGTGACCTTTCATACCATCTTGAATGATACGTGTGAACTTCTCAGGACATCCAATTTTCTTTGTGATTTTCCACAGACCTTCTCTGTCAAAAGCTTTAGTCAGTCTAAGAATGTTGTATAAAGGTTGACATGCTGCTCTCCACACTTTTCTTTTACTGTTAAATGGCAAAGATTACATCAACCGTCCTTTATTCCATTTGGAAGCCACACTGAGATTCTGGTAACCGACCTCTCTCCAAGTGCCCTGTGAGGCAATTCAGAAGGATTCTTGCCAGAATTTTCCCAGCAGCATTTAGAAGAGAGGCTTCGGAAGTTGTCAAGAGTTGACAGTTGACTTTTCTTTTATAAGGATGGACAACTGTTGTATTTTTAAAGTTCTTGCGTCCAAATTTCTTGAGACAGATACATGTATTATGGGAGAAGCTTATTACCCCCTTTTTAATACAGATATCTGCTGGAATGGCATCTGCCCCGGAGCTTTTCCATGGGAGAGCTGATTAATGGCTTCGTTTCTTTCATAAATAGGGGAAGGACCATGGAATTGCTGATTGGAACTAGTGGCAGCCTGCTAACTGCATCCTCATTTCATATATTCTGTTCCACATGTTCTATGGATTTAATTTAAATCAAAATTATTTTTAAAAAATCATTTATTTTTATCCACCCTGTTCTATTCAACTTTTTAAAAATTCAACTTTTTGAAAATGCTCAGCCCATCTCTACAAAATTTATGACTTCTCCACAATGAGTACTGAGCCACTGGAGCTAAGAAGAGATGACATACTCACAGGGTGGAGGGCACAGATCCTTTCACTGCTTCAAAATGTGTTTCTCAATGATCAGCAAAGCTCTGAATCTCTTTAACCTTCCTACTGAACCATGAGTGTCTCTCACGCATACATACACTTTCATAATCTCATATGCTTTCTCGCCTTCCTGTTTTTCTTGTTTTCTTTAAATAAATTTTAAGAAGCCTGAATATCTTTGCTTTTGTTTTAAGTACAGAACTCTATTATATATATGACTGCAGTGATATATAGAACTCATAGCTTTTAAGAACTCTGCTTCTAAAAGCGAAAAGGGAGAAACACAAATATTATTCGAGTCACACTTAGGAAATTAACAATGCATCTAAGAACCGGTCAAAATTTAGTATTTCATCTTTACTACCCAGTAGTGCTATTATAACTGTGAAGCACAGGTTATTGGTCCACAATAAATGCGATGTATTCATCCACAAAAATGGCCAGAATCCTATTGTTGATTAATGTGCATGTAAGTCAAACAGCATACATAAGTCTTGGTGGCAAACTGCTGCTCATTAAAAGGCTGCTGCTTGCATTCCTGCACACCATTGTGTGATCAAGTGCATACCCAGGAACGCTAGCAGCTTGATACTGAGAGGCAATTTGGTGCCAAGACTTAACACAAGCATAAATTGGCAAGAGGATCCTGGCCAATAGCTATTTCAATATATTTATATATATATTTATTTATCTATCTAAATGAATAGCAGCCCAAGAATCACTTTAAAATGGCCTGCATGGAAGCCTCTTCATACAGCGGGCTGTTTGCATCTACTTGGTCATCCTGTGGACTTTGTACTTTTACATAAAACTGCAAATCATAATAAAAGTGTTGGAGACTATAGTGCCATGGAGAAAATGGGAAGTTCTGTATAATGAATATCTATGAATTTATTGGTAGCTATATATTAACAATTTGGACCTCGAATACTCTGGACAGTTTGGACATGTCTTAAGAACTAGCCTTAGGCAAATTTACTCAATGACTTCAAACTTCATACAGAGAATTGGTTGGGAGAAATCGTAACTGCAGGTGAGCATATAATACCCCAACTTTCATTGCTCCTCCCATGCAAATCCTTCCTACCCATCATATGTCCATATCTAGAATAGATGGCAAATGTGAGTTCATGATAAGGTGGGAATATGAAGTCTTTTTTTTGCGATGTGACTTTTAAAGTACTTTAAAGATACACTCTTTTAAGCTGTTTTAGACAAAACTGGACTTCACACAATGTGAGTACTGCTTGCCTTCTATTTTCCACTATGAATCCCATCTGTAGAAGAGCATTGGGATAGTACCTGTTTATGGAGATTGAGGCTGTCAATTTCAGAGAGGACCCATCCAACGCTTCCATCCCCACCACATACCAGAATGCGAAAGGTATCGAATTTCTGGAATAAACGTAAACTGCACAGAAAAAATGCATATTTATTCTTAAAGAATTTACTAAATATACTACATATACCCTAAGCCAGAGATGGCGAACCTATGGAATGTGTGCCACAGCTGGCACGCAGAGCCCTTTCTGCGGGCACACAAGCCATAAGTCGCCGGATCGCTACTACCCCCCCCCCCGCAGCCAAACCTCAGGAGGCGGATGCAGCTGGTGCTTCGACAGGTGGCAGGCTAGGATCCAGTGTAGCTGGCGCTGGTGGCGGATCTGGAGTGGGGTCCTGAGGCACCTCCGTGTCTGGGATTCCCCCTTCTGCCTCCACTTCCGGTTCCGCCACCACCACTTTTGGTTCGAGTTCCACTGCCGCTGCTGCCACCGTGGCCTGCCGTGTTTTTTTTCCCAGTTTGGGCACTTGGGCCCCAAAAGATTCACGGCCACTGCCCTAAACTATTTAAATCTCATTTACATATTTGGGTGATTGCCAAAGAAGGAGAAAATTTCTAAAGTAGTAGTAGTTTCATGATAAAAACAAGTAACTGTCTTTCTACAATATTAAATTTCCTTTTCTTTTGCCAACATATTTTGGACAGGATTTTAAATTAATCTAAATTATCAGATTTGAAAGGATTCTCATATAAATGTGGTTCCATGGGAATCTCTACAACTGTGTGGTGATGCCTAATGTGTAGTCACAGATTATTTTGCTTATTGTTTGACTTTCTTGGCTCTTTCCCTCCTGAAAAGCTGGTTAATTAACTAGAGAACAAACCTTGGTTTAATTATGTAGCTTGTTGTTGAAAAGTCAGGCAGCTAGTTCTCTGCTGGATTTGCAGGTCAAGATTTACTAATTGTTACCCTATAGTCTATGCGCATATCCCTATGGAAAAGCAACTACCTAGTGTGTATAAGTACATTGGCTTACCCACAATAAACCGATTTTTTCTTAAATTCTATTTTATGACATCTGAATGCAGCTATGTCTTTGTTAAATAAAGCATTGAGAAGTTCTGATTACCTATCTGTCTGTGCAACATGGTTTCAAGAGCATTTCTTTCTTTCAGCAGATATTATCTTTCAAAAACCAAACACTGAAGCATGCAACTCAACAAATAAAAGATTCTGTGGAGCTCTGTAAGGAAGCTCCTGTAGCATATATGAATCGACAGAACTAACATATTTGCTTAGTATGCAGAAAATCCCAGAATCAATCCTGGCAGTTTCAATTTGATTATTAAGTAGCAGAAAGGATCAGAAAGGTAACATCTGTATTTGGCAGCAAAAAGAGTTTTTCCTATATTCCCTGTACATCCACTGCCGGACAGAATATAAAGCGCTGGATTAAATAGACAAACAATCTGATCTGAAACATGGCAGCTTTCAGAACCTTAAATCAGGAGTGGGCAATATCAGAAGTTCCCCTCATTATGCAGGGGACTGTAACCTCCCATTGTGCCAAACCTGCAGATATTTCCAGGGATGAGAAATTCTCAACAATTCTCTTTGGGGAAGCACAGCAGAATCACGGTCCCAACAACTTCCTGGGAATGATCTCCTAAGTGCCATGATTCCCATCTGAATTACTTGGATTTGAGTGGCTGCAGAACATAGCGGAGTGCCGAAAGATTGTGTGTCATGGGAGTTCAGTTTTGTCTACACTCGGCTTAGATAATTTTATTTTAAGAACAGAAGTCATATGGATTACAGTACTCAAGCAGCCAGATGTTGAATAGAACTTGATGCAAGGAAATAAAAATAGGAAATTGCCATGAAAAATAGTCCCTAGAGATATCATTTTTCATTTATAAAATGAAATCTCACTGCATGTCAAACCCTTAGTGAAAATGGTACCGTTATGTCTACTGACAGTAGTGCAGTTTACATGAATGGATAGAATGAATCAATCTGCTTGGTATGCAGTAATGCATGTAGCACATATAGAAAATTGTGGAAAATTTTCCGCATGTGGAAAATGAATGTGGATACATCTCACAAAATCCCTCTCCTCCGTTTTAGAATATCTACCATAGATTAGAGAAGCACATGCTGTGCCGTAAACAATCTTTATCACAGTATCCAGGTGGCACCAGGCTGCTGTGCATTAACATGTCTCAATTCAAGCAATTCAGGCAAAGCATACCCTTAATTTTTCTCTGATATGTCATACAAACACATCTTCTGTCACATCTGCCTGAGGTTGCTCCATTACTTAAATGCATCACACAAAGTGTTTAAAAAACTAGTTACAAAAATAGGACTCTGTCTACCTACTTAGCGAAAACTGACAATCTTTAGAAACAGGATGAATTTAACAGTTACTTTACACATTGATACAGGAAAAGCATCTCTCTTTACCCGAGGTGAGGACCTCCATTCATAAGGTCAAAGACCTGTGCAGGATTCAGTAGCTGTTTGAACCTTCGTAGGAACTTTACACCCTGGTTGTCTCCACTTTTTGAATTGACGAAGACCAGCAAAGGACTTGTGCAAGAAGGGGGGCAAGTGGCTTTCCAGAAACCTGAGAGGAAAGGGGAAAAGAGAAGATAATTATATTTTACTACTATAGAACAATATAGTTAAAATAATATTTAGACAACATATACCACATAGAACAATGTAGTATTTTGAATATGCTCTGAACATGTTCCTGTTCTAAATGATAACATATTCCCAGGATAATGTTTGCATTTTGGACTTCAAGAAACTTTATGAACTATTTAGGCTGAAATACAAGATGAAAATATAAGTGGTACCTAGAATAAACTGTTGCACCATGGAATGGTAATCCCGTTCAATATTCCAGTCCTCTCTTTCAAGATAATCAATTCCATCCTCCCTTCCCAGTCCCATTTTTCCAATTCTCCACACATTCAAACTGTCACTAAGAATTCTGTATCCATCTAAGGTGCTCTTCACTAGGCTGTTACTCCACTCTTTCATATTTTTGTAAATCTTAGGGCTTCCTAAAGCCTCTTTCATGTGCAAAGAAGCTAAGTCAGTTTCCTATATGAAGATCCTCATAGGACAACAAGGTCCAAAGTGGGCAATGTCTTTACTGGATCACAACAAAGGTACAAATAAGATGAGCTTTCACATTCTCCAGAATGTAGGCTAGAATCCTATAGGTTACTTACAGCAGCTGAAGTGCAGTGACATAAAGAACAATAGTGAATTTTCACTATTTAACAAGTCACCACTAGTATCTTTCCCCACATAACAACTCACATAATGGATGCACAGTGAGGGATACAAGCTCTGACTGCTTAACTAGGAGAAAATTGCTGTTGCAATTTATGCCTCCGCATTTATACCCATGTAAACAACCAATAGGAGTGTCGCCTTTAGCTGATACTTACCATCTGAATCAATGCTGTTGAGAGCTGTGGGAGGGATGACAGATACTTTACAAAGGCCTAGGGGGCATTTAGTTGGTAACAAGTCCCTACATGAGGTATGTACCTGTAATAAGAAAATTATAGCAGTTAAAGTTTTCTAGGTTTCGTTCTAACTTTTTTTTTTTTTGGCTCCATTCAACTATTTCAAAGACCAATTATTTTTTAAAATGAAAAAAAGGGGAAGCAAGGAATGAAAGTCATTTTAAGAATACATACTCAGAGGTTTAAATACAAATCTAAATAATTTAAATTCAGAAAACTGAAGCCTTCTTTCATTTACTGGAGTGGTTCAAATACAATTATTCTGGCTTAGCAAACCATAATATATCAGGATAAATAGGAGTGTTGTGTTGTGTGACATTGCCCTCCCCATTCATTGGCTCTGTTGCTTCAGCTATGACTTATACAAATCACACTTTAATATTACATATGAAATGAGGAATGGCATTAATCCATCTTAACTGGATATCTTTGCCCTCTTTACTTTTTTTTCTTGTTCTTCTATCAACCAACCCCACTGTCCCAATACACTCATCTGTATACAAAATACCAAAAAAATTATACCTGCATTTAAGAACCAGCACTGCATCCAAAACAATTCAATATTCATGGACTGAACTATCAAGGTAGGCCTTGACAAAATAAAAGGAGTCCTGTTAAAAAGTAATTTCCAAGATACATGACCAGGTTATATTTAGGACTCAAATTCTGTACCTCAAAGATCCAATACACCTTTTTAGAGCTTTTGGATGTGACCTTTATTTTGTTGGAAAGACCTGCTACCAAGTCATATAGTTTTCTGTTTATATACTTTCATTTACTCAATGCAATGAAATTTACTTTTGCTGTTGTAGTAACATCAGATTGCCACTCTGGACATTTCCACCCATGACAGAACCAGTGGGCCACATTTTAGAATACAAAAAAGAATCTATTTATTATTTTATTATGCTTATCCAGATTCTCATCAATAGTTAGAAAAATTCTATTTGAGAAAGATAGGCTATACTTAGTTGGCATTTTAAAATACATATGTTCAGTGAAGGAAAGCACAGAACTGCTCAACATACCATAGCTTTGCACCAGAGACAGCGCCAGTCTTGCAAACGGAGGACACTGCCACATGTTTTATCACACACTGTGCATTTGGCACTCACAGGTAGATTTCCTTCAAGCCACTGATGTGGCATTGAAATCTGCAAATAAACCAAAAAAGAAATATCCTTCTTTACAGGACAACCCGGAGAACCATTAAAATAGGAACAGATTTAACAAGCTAAAGCACCTTCTGATGAAGTCTCTAATACTCTAAAACAGAGGTTGTCAACCCCTGGTCCGCAGCCCAGTGCCAGCCCATGGGCTTGCCAGAACTGGGCCACAGATTCGTATCTCCGCCCCCACATGCACGGTGGGTGTGTCACGCTCGCACAGGGGGATGTCACGCTCGCAGTGCGCATATCACGCCCGCATAGATATGAACAAGTGCAACATGCAACTCACCCCCGTGCAAGCGTGACACGCCCCCCCCACGTGAATGGGCTTGCCAGAAATGGGCTGCGGACACATATCTCTGTCCCCCACCCACACGGTGGGTGTGTCACGCTAACATGGGGGGCATGTCAAGCCCGTGTTGGGTGTGTCATGCTCACACGGTGGTTATGTTATGCTTGAGGTAGGTGATCCTCCATGCATGGAGCTCGCTCCCCCCAGCCGGTCCACGGCCCCAAAAAGGTTGAGGACTGCTGCTCTAAAAGACAGAAACCTTTTACTTTCTACCACACAACGTTAACATATCTTTTCAAAATTCAGAATACAGGTCTTTCTCACTTTTGGAATATAAGAGTACCCATGACCAAGGATTTTGTGTCCCATTTGAATCTGATGAACAACTGTCTGCAACTTGATGTACCGTGAAAAAACTCCTACATCTGAGGCAACTGACCCCTCCTACCAGGTGCTGGGACACACTTCATACGGAGAGTATCTCCCTTCATTTGTGCTCACTAGAAGTCTGCTGGATTACAAGAATGTTTTGTTTCTCAGCAAGACCTGTGCTCTCATTTAGCTGGGATTGGTCTAATAGAGGAATGGCTAAACTCTGAGGGTTTATAGCAGCTACACTGACTCTTTGAATATATTAACTCGTCTAAAATTTCCTAGCTTATTAGACTCACACTCTCTGTAAGATAAAATGCGCTACTTTAATATGTTTTAGAACAAGGTACAGCGGTACCTCCCTGTAGTCTCCACAGCAACTTGGCAGGCACACATGCACTTATTTTTCTGCCAGCCTTCTTTCTCATGATAAATGATCTCATACGTACTCCATCTTCATCCTCAATGATATCCTTTCCAATAGAAGCTAATGTTGTCCATTTGCAGTTGTTGGTTGCCCGGACAGCACACCTCTTGTGGGCTTTAAATTTGCACACTAGAAAGCAGAGATATATAATGAGTAGAGCTGAGAGATCTCGTTATTTAGCCTAAATGTAATTCAGAATTTAAAATATACTGATATTCTCCTGTTTTAGCACTGGCAGTTCAACCAAGCTAATATAAAAAGTTAAAGGACATTCTTAAAACAACTTAATATTGCTTAATATTTTGTAAACAGTACAGACGCCTAGAGTGGTCCGGTGGGCCAGATAGGTGGGGTATAAATTAAATAAATAAATAAATAAAATAAAATATACTTTTCAGATATTGCTTATGTGAAATAAACATATATTAGATAAATATGCTATTTGTCTTCAGTGTGGAAGGGACTGTCACTCTCGGGTTGGCCTTCTCAGCCACATTAGATGCTGTTCCAAGTCCTCCATACAAGCATGTTACCATAGTCTTTCAAGACTGAAGGATGCCTAACTAAGATAAATACGCTAAAACAATCTAACAGTTTTAACAGATAATAAAAATAACAGTGAATTAATTGCAGTGAAAAAGAATAGCCTCTAATTTCTTTCATGACAAGTCCTGTGTCTAAAATAATCCAAAATTGCACTCTGGATGTTAAAGATATGTCTCCTCCCTTATTACTTACAATCCTATATAGGATCTACCTCCACTTTTATTTATTTAAAGCCCAATATACTTTCTTCATCCCTCTTTAGATAAAAATATGACTAAATAGGATTCTCTTGATTATTTATGCCAGCATAAACGCAAATGCATAAATTGCAGCAGTGAAGTGCCAGTAGTTAATGACTTGCCACTTGTACCCCACATTGCGTTCCAGCTATGTGACTTGGTGTGCGACACTAAGGAATGTGCTGAGGAAGTTGTTCTCAGCAGACTGACAGACTGCTTTGGATTTATGCTTCCTCTAGGCTCCCCTTGGTCCCTAACATCAGCACTAGAACTTTGAACTGTGCTCAGAAATGACACAGGTGGAAAATGAATCAGTGTAGCTATTTAAATATTGTCAAGCTGTGATTCTAAACAGTGTTACTAGTTAGCAGTCTTGCATACTACACTACATGATCCTAGAGTTTCCCAGTATGTATCCTTGCCACAGTTATCTATATTATGCAAGCAGTCTTCAGATCACTAAGCTGAAAAAAAAACTGAAACAAAGTAAATGTAAAACTATGTTTTATATCTCAGCTAAATTCATTTTCTCTAATCTTCAATTTGTATTGAAAAACAGATTGATTTTTAAAGAGACTAAAGTAGCATGTGTCTGACACCATTTTGTAAGTCTAGTGTTTTCCTATTGAAACAGGGTATTATAAAAGGATTTTACCTTCACAAGAGAGTCCATGGGATGTGACCCCAGATAATGCCTCCCGACATACATTACAATATGTTGGTCGAGCATGTGAACAAGCATACCAATTATGCATCCCTGAGAAATGGTCCATACTGTACTGTGTAGTCTGAAAATGAATTCATGACAGACAAATTAAGAGGATATCTCTATACAATATTAAAATTAATACAGGAGAGAATATAAACATTATATTTTAACGGTAGGATCTAAACCTATATACTATGTAGCAAATACTAACCACATAAGAAGGTCATGCTATAGCAGTAAGGAAGTGGGAATTAAAAACAAACTGGGAAGTACAGCATGGGGTGAAATGAAGGACTCAAGCTTACATGTAACAGAGACAATGCATGCAATGGAGTGCTGGAACTATAAGAAATGCATACAAAATGCCCATCAGCAGTTATTCACTGAACATCAGAATATAATGTTTGGGTTTGGCCAAATTTCTAAATTGCAAATCCATCAGATGTAAGCAAGAGGGATGTTGATATAAAGAGCTTCTACCAACACAAATACTTTCATTCAATCCGAGCTGAAAGAAAGCAAAAGCCCACCTAATCAAACCCCAGGCAGGACAAGATCACCCACCTACTCAAGATGATTCAAGAAGAAGGATTTCTCCTTTTCTGTCATACATCTCAAATCGTATTTCCTGCCTTAAGAGTGCAGTCCCTGGGAGAGTGTCCCAGAGGCCATGATGACATAGAATACTATCAGTCTCTGGATGACAGCAGGAATTTATGCTGCTTGTGGCTGCCTCACTGGCAGTGCCCTGCTTGTGCTATGGGCAAGGAGAGAAGCTCTGGGCACGTCAGGATCCGAGAGAAGCTCTGAATTTGCCAAAATTAACAAATACCGCCTCCAGAATAGGTAGAACACTATGCCAGCCCCGGAGCTGGGTGTTATTTTTTTCCTTCCATTGGAAAAAAAACCCCAATCAAAATGAAAAACAATACCAGCTGGGGAGGGGATGATGGCAGCTAAGATCAGAAGTTGTTCCCTTCCGATCACTACAAGATTGTCCTATAAGCATTTAAAACTCTGACTTTATCTGTGGTTGTTTTGAACGAACATATTCTTGTTTTACTTTTTTTTAATTTTTATAACCTGCCTTGTGACATGCAGCACACACATATATAGATTTATAAGTATATAGAAAGGCATATGTGTGTGTTATATATTGAGTTGGAATACATTCCTATAGTGAAAAAGTCTTCGGAGGCAACTAAGGGTAAGCATAATAATTCCCTACCGGTGTAAAAGTATACTGGGTTATTTCCAAAATAAAAATGATACTTCTGAGTACCAACTTTTAATTTTTATTATATTACTCAAAGCCATTTTGCTTTACTATTTGTATTCTTTGAAAAATATATTCAGTTAGGGAAAAGTATAATTTTGCTTTCTTATTTCTGGTGACTCATGATAACAAGGCCAGAAGACTCCTCGGCTAATTTTAAATTTAGACATTTTATATTCTGATGACCTCACAAAATACTGAATCACAACTGCTGAACCAAATGGCATACATGCTTCAGGCAGTAAACGTGCTGAGGGTGACACTGTATTTTAAAATCAGAGATGGTTTCACAACTGCAACCATTCTATTACACATTACCTCAAAATGTTCACGATTTTGTACAGTCTTCAATGCTGCAATCCAATCCTCCATTTCTTTTCTGTTATCAGCACACAAGATGAGCTTCCGACATGGAGTAATGACCTATAAGGAAAAACAATCATATACATATCCCAGTGATTACAAAATGGGATCAGAGAGCGTAACCATCCCATCAGATCTAGACAATATGATAAATTATCATGGATGATGCAAGCTGCAAGCCAACAATATCTGTTGGTTACAGCATAAGAAACTGAAGTAATAAACTCTGCCATGGAATAATGGCCTTACGCCAAAGCAGGAAAATTAGGATCCCACTTTCCCACGTAAGCACAGTTCTGGTCCTGCTCAAACACAGCAGTAGGATATCCTCCTCCTCATGACCATCATCACACCTATCAAGGCTGCCTTGCTGCAAAAAGTATAGTCTTCCTTCTTCTTTCTAAATAGTGGGATAAACTTTTAAAATGGGTTGTACATGCAACACCCCCCCCCCAATTTTCTATCTACTAGTGCTGTATCTCTAACAGAGGTTTTAAGTACTGAAAGAGTCAGCTTAGGCCTCTTCCAAACAAGCCTATACAGGAGACTTTTAAAGATCAAGGGAAAGAAATAGTTGAATATTTTAGCAATCTGTTCAAGGATGTAGATTCCTTAATAAAAATTAAAATATGATGACTCAATGTGAGGGTCCGTTATTCTTCACCTCCCCCGAACCAAATAAAACAGGAGACGTTTTTAAACCAAACAACATGTCTTCATTTATTAACTGGGGTAAGGGAATAGAAATGTCTATCAGCTTGGGAACGAACTTCTCCTGTGGGAGCAACAGCTCGTACAGGGGCACCCAGTCTTCATCAAATGGGTTACTTGACCTCGACACCCATGGGCCAGCCTGAACCCTGAACCCGGGAGGGTTCTTCGGGTTCGATGTTATCTGGGTCCGTTGTCAATAGTGGGGTTGTCTCTTCATGCCCTGTATATCCCCAGGGTACATGGTTCTCTGGAGGAGTTTCCTCAGCTCCTCCAGATGCCATATTCTCTTTTCCTCTCTCTCTTTCTCTACTCTCTTCTTCTCCTCAGCTAACTTGTGCCGCCACTCTCTAGTCTCCCTTTCTCCCCAGTATGAGGGTCGTACTGTCATTTCCCTCCTTCTCCTTTCCTCCGCCTCTCGCTTAGTGAGACGCACCTGTTCCCACTTGCCAGTCCAAGGGTCCTGGATGGACACCCATTCCCATCGGCCCTCCTCAACGTCTCTCCTGCGACTGACTTCTCTCACAGCTCCCTCCTCTGGATCTTTCCATCCCCTTCCCGCCCAAACCAGTGGAGTCTGGGTAGATATTGTTAACCCCTTCAGTCCCCGTTCTAAATCCAGGGTGTCCACAGCCTGATGTAGCATCCGGGGTGGGAAAGGCATGGGAGCTGTCTGGGTGCCTACGGAGGCTCTAGGGCGAGACGGCACTCCCAACATCACCTCACGACCCGGGGTACGGATGTCACACTCAAGGGAACAAAGGAGCTCCATGCATCAAAGCAGATTTCTACATGGACACAGACAATGAGGATGTCAGTGTGCATCACAATGCCACCATTTTCTACAGTGCAAGAATCATCCAGACCCTATTGAACTGCTGGGATACCTTTTGATGCAGAAGTGAGTATACATGGTCATTCAGGCCAAGGTATGTGCATGCCATGAAGTATGAGGCCCAACTGCTTTTTAAAATTACTTTCAATGTTATATCTATTGTTACTGACAGGGTGTCCAAATTATGCAACTTACTAATCTTTCTATAGGACCACCCATAATTTTAACTTCAGGATTTTTGCATCTCAGACTTGCTTGTGATTACTGTATAAAAACCAGAAGGCCTAAATTCACATCTCAAAGATAAACATTGCATCTTCACTGATAATTTTTGAGACAACTTACCAATACAGCCTAAAGATACATGATTCTTAAAATCTATTTCTCTTTCACATACACACTCTTCAGGTTCTATTCCTTCTACGGGCTCAGCCTTCAACTGCTCAAACATGCCCAGGCACCCAAGACACAACAGAGCAACTTAATTTAAGTAGCAAAGTATGTCTTGTGCTTTTAGGTAAAACAATTTTAAACTTGAAAATAAAGAAGATACAGTATATATGTAATTATTTTCTGTAGACCACCACAACCTGTGTAATAGATTAACCAGATTATCAGAGGCAGCAAAAAGACTAACACAGTATAAAATGGGCTGTGTGTGTGTCTGTGTATCTGAACTTGCAAATAATCCATCTAACCCCATCTTAAATATTTGAATAGGGGTCATATACCCTGTTTTCCCTAAAATAAAACCTAACCTGAAAATAAGCTCTAGTATGATTTTTCAGGATACTCATAATATAAACCCTACCCTCAAAATAAGCCCTAGTTAAGTGAAAAACCGCCCTCTACCACTGTGCAGTAACCAGAAGAAGATGACATGACTGTATTTGAATAAATGTATATTGTTGTACATGAAAAAAATAAAACACCCCCTGAAAATAAGCCCTAAAGTGTTTTCGGAGCAAAAATTAATATAAGACTCTGTTATTTTCGGGGAAACACCATATCACCACATTCACATATCACAAATCATCAAGACTGCATGACTTGACTGTTAGTCCCCATGTATGTTTCCCAGACACAGAGAGAGAGCCAAGTATAACATGAGAGAGACAAAGAGAATAAGATGAATAGAATGTTTCTCAAAGGAATTCACTGCTGCCCACTCTGCACACCCTACTGCATTCTTCCTTCTGCATTCAAGCCAAGAAGCTCCCCTGACCATCTTTATAAGTATGCCTTCATCACTATGACAAAGAGGTCATCCTGCACTTGTTGCCCATCCTGCCACACCTCAACTGCTGCCCTTTGCCCATCATTGACAAAGGTCACATGAGTCAAGGTAAGGCACATGCTTCACACACAGGAGGTAACCAATGACACCAGCTAGGGTGGGGAAAGATGTCTGCTGAAACTCTGAGGAGCCACTGCCAAACAAGATAGAGAAGCTAATAGTTTGATCTGTATAAAGTAGTTTCTTATGTTCCTACGTAAGGCAGCTGTTGTGAAATCACTAGGAAGCCTGCCAAACTACTGCTGCTGTCAGTGTCAGATGTCTCATCAGTTTGGCTGACACCTGTCCTCCTCCTCCTCTTCCCCAACTGCAAGTTTTAAAATGTGTGCATATCATATAGCACTCCACAGACACATTGCAAAAACATCCAGGACTACTCAAGCTTTTTGAAGATAAGGAATTCCTATGAAATCAAGAATTGGGGAAATAACTAGTCATGGTCTGAGAATAGATTCAAAGGCAGGGATGGTCCAACCAGGATACAGTGATTCAGATGATTCCATCTGCCCCCAAATGCCTCCCACATAACTGACATGTTGATACCTATCTTGCTTTATAAATGTATCTACTGTATCAATAAAAGTAGTCATCAACAATCTATTTTTTCCACTTCTATTTTGGCTAATTTCTATTTCATAGTACTACAAAACTGTTCTTGCCAGAACTATTCTCTTATTAAAATTAAAAAAAATTAAAAGAACTGGCAAAAATGAGGAATAACTGATTCAAAGCAGACTGGCTATTCTTCACCAATTAGCAGTTCAAGGAAATACACTAGAATTTCACTCCATCAAAACAGCCTTCTTTCTTTCAGAACATTAACTGTTTTCCAGTGTCCACTTCCTCTGTATTAATTACCACTGAAGCAATCCCCTTTTCTTTCATTTATTTCTCAAGAGATACAGATGTCAATATTAACTCAATATTAATGCCTGTCTCTTCTGAAAGGATTGTTATTGTTGTTTAGTCGTTTCCGACTCTTTGTGACCCCATGGACCAGAGCATGCCAGGTCCTCCTATCTTCCACGGCCTCCCGGAGTTGTGTCAAATTCATGTTGGTGGCTTCGATGACACTGTCCAACCATCTCATCCTCTGTTGTCCCCTTCTCCTCTTGCCTTCACACTTTCCTAACATCAAGGTCTTTTCGAAGGAGTCTTCTCCTCTCATGAGATGGCCAAAGTATTGGAGACTCAGCTTCAGGATCTGAAAGGATTAATGAATATTAATTCCCTGACTATGTTTCTATTCTTACCCAGTATTGCCTCCAAGTCTTTGCCAGCTGTTTTTTGAGTTCGGGAAAATATGATCACCCTGACCCCATACAGCATATAATGTTCTTTTATTGGAGGAGATGTCATAGTGAACGCAGCAGACAGAAAAATAAGTTAAGGACACGCTGGCTGGGTTTTGGACTAGCTTGAAATACTCAAGACACATACCACATGAGAGATGTGGCCTAAATAAATCTGCTAAATATAGCTATCCTGATGCTGCATACTTTTAAAGCAGCCAACATTGTAGTGTGATAGAGACTGATAACTATAGCTGTTTCCTCTTTACTCACATCCTGCTTAGCCTTATGTACCATTTGTCAACCTTGAGTTTCCCCAAGAGACTGTCAAGTATTAAAAACAATGAGGTAGAGGGAAGCTGTTTATTTTAACAAAATAGCAAATTATCTCACACATAAATCCCATTGATGTTAATAAGGCTTAGAAGCCTATTACTAAGGCCCACCACAAACTCACATTTATATTTATATACAGTAATTTAAAAATTATTAATTGTGAATCTTCTGCCACTTCTGTTAGTGTATTATCATCATTCACAACTTATGACTGTAGGAGACCACTTACCCATCACAGTGGTTCACAGTGTTGCAACTATACATTGATGTGAGTCACCTTGCCTTTCCATATTTAACTGTCTACTCCAGCATGGGAAAGCAAATGCATTCAACATTACACAAGGATTGCTGTCACATTTTTGTTCAATTTTAATTGTTTTGTTTCAAAACTGAAGTTTTACCTGTCCTAGTACTGCAGATCACCCGTATCCTGCATTATAAGACTCTCCAAATGACTTCACTCTCCAGAATGCCTGGTGAGGCTAGCTGGGGTTGATGGGACTTGGATTCCAGTTACCTTCACAAGGCCACATGTTTCCCAGCCCTTTTTAAAATAATAACACAAACTTTTTAAATGCCCAAGGATTTA